ACACACACACACACACACACACACACACACACCTGCTTATTTTCTCTTTCCCTTCCCAGTTCCAGTGCCTCCCCCCATCTTTAGAGAGGGTGGAGTTGGGATGCCTCTTGACCTGCCAGGCACAGGGAGGGGACCCTGGGTGTAGAACAAAAGTCCTGCAAACCCTTGCAGAGAGCAGTCTAGCCCAGGCAAGGCCAGTCAGAACGGGGTGTTCCAGAGTGGGTTTTGTTTCTCGGGTCTCACGGGTGGTTGGGAAGAAGGGGATCCTGGGTCCTGGGAGAAGGGCTAGTGTCTGGTCTGCTGGAGTCCCCGCTTTGCCTCTGCAAGAGGGACCTCGGGTTTCAGGGCCCCCAGGCTGGCCTTAGGCCTCCCAGGGCCTGGGTCCTACCCTCCCAGCAAGGCTCCTGCTTAGAGCAGCTGCTGAGGGGGAGCAGGGGCTTTTGGGGTTCCTCTGGGTAGACCACCCTCAGAGGCATCTACTCTTCCTGCCACCTCGAGACCTCTTTGCTTAGTGTGTGCTGGGGAGATTGGACACCAGCACTGGACAAACTCCCCGGGAGCCTCTTCCTTCTCCGTCTCCATGGCAACTGCCCCTCCTAGGAAATCGGTTTTGGAAGAACTCGCTGCTTTGACAAGCCAGTATTTGCCCATCTTTTTTATTTACTTAACATATTTTTATATAGTGCTTGCCCCATGTTAACTGCTATCCTAAGTCCTGATTATTAATTATCTTAAGCCCCACCACAACCGCACAAGGTAGGCACTGGCGTCACCCCCATTTTGCAGATGAGGCAACTGAGGCAAGAAAGACTAAGTCAGCTACCCAGAGTCGCAGGGCGCTAGCAGGTGACACAAGACAGTGCTAGGTTTTGGGGGGTCTTTGCTTTGGTTTTTACTTGGTTGGTTGTTTTTTTGTGGTCCTGGAAATGGAACCCAGGGCAAGCCTACATGCCAGGCAAGCCTCTCCCACTGAGCTGCACCCGCCGCCCAGGGGCAGGATTTGAAACTGGGAGGTCTGGCTGTGAGGTTCACAGCACGCTGGAAGGAGCAGGGCTGGAGAACCCGGGCAGACCTTGCTGTCCTCACATGAGGGATCCTGCCTGCATTCTTTCCAGCCCCTGCCTGCCGCCTGTGTGTGTGTGTGTGTGTGTGTGTGTGTGTGTGTGTGTTGTGCAGTATATTTAAGAACATCTGAATGAGTCACATTTCTGGGATCCTGGCTGGCAGCAAAAGTAATTAGTATGTGCGCCGAGTCTTGCCTCGTTCACATTTATTCATTACTCCTCTGGAGGAGCCGCCCGCCCTCATCCCGCGGATTTGTTGCCTAGTATCCCTGGCCTCCCAGCCAGCCAGCCTGGAGCTGCCTTGAAACCTCTAATCTGGTTTTGTTCGGTTGGGGGCTTTCTGCAGAGCTGCCCGATTACTGCAGGTGAGAGAGACACCAGGTGGCTAATTTACCAGGATGGGGGCTCACCTGGTGGTGGTCACGTGCACCCGGGAGAGGGCACTGACTGCTTGGTCTGGCTCAGGGCAGGGCTGGTGAAGCGGAAGAAAGGAGATGGCCCCCTGCTGTCGTGTCCCTGTGCACCCTGCCTCAGTGTGCCCAAGCGTGGCCTGCAGGGCTGTGGAAGCGTACCCAGCCCCTGAGAATCTATTTTCCTAATGAGCCCCCGGGCACTGCTGCTGTGGGCATCCTGTGATCAAATAACTGGGCATGAACACCCACCCTTGCAAGGTGACGACAGTAGGGTTAGAGATGGCTTTTATGAATCCACTCTCTCGGCGACTAAGCACCAGAACAAAACAGCCCAGAGCCTGGGCTGCAGCGGGGAGGAAGAGATCAAAAGTGCAAAAAAATAAAATAATGGAAAACCGTGATGCAGGCTACAAAGACAGTGGTCCATGGAGCTGGCCCAGCGCGGTGGGGGCCAGGAGAAACTCACTTAGATTCACTGGCCAGTAAAAGTCTCCCCCAAGGGACACTCTGCAGAAAGAGCCCAGGAACAGTAGTACCATTGTTTGCCAATGGGCTCCACCTTTGTCCAAGGATGACCTTGGACAAGCCACTGACCTCCCTGAACCACAGCGTTATCTCCTGTCGAATGGAGGCAGTCAAGTACTCACCCTGAAGGGATGTTCCCTAGATCCCCGGGAGTTAAGGAGCAAGGGTAGTGTGCACAGGAGGGTGCCCGAACAGTCAGCAGGGACCATGGTTGTCCATGACGCCGAAACCCCTGGAAATCCTACATGAGCCAGTGGCCTTGGCTTCCAGGGGAACACCTTGTTCCGTGGCGTGGGGTGGCTGTCGCCTCATGGACATCCTCATCTGCGCACTTAGATTTTGACCAGGGAGGCCTTCCTGGGGATGGGGGGCTGACTGAAGGGGGGGAATTCGAGGACTTGACAGTGACAGAACCCCAGCTCCAGTTGGCTTAGTTTGCCCTGGGGAAGCGCCAACCAGAATCCTGGGGTCGATTCCCACAGGTCTGGTCCAGGCCATCTGCCTTCCTGTGAACCAGTCAGTGTGGCCAACGGGGAGGACCGAGGGGCTGATTGACCAGGCCTGGGCCAGACGTCCAGGCCGGGTGCTGAGGCTCAAGGCAGCTTCTCCAAAGAAAACTCAGGAGCTCTTCACAGAAATGGGAGAATGGACGCCGGGCAACGTCAACACCAGCTGTCCCGGAAAGAGGAGTGGGTTCCACCTGCAGGAATGGAAGCAGAAAGCAAGAGTGAATCCGTTTCCTGTGTCAGCCAGGAGGCAGGAACTGGTGTCCGGGGGTCACAGCCGTGAACACTCTGCGCGGTTTCGGTAGCGCAGGCGCCGTGATGGTGCGCCCATCATCTCTGCAGGTTTCCTGTTGTGGCTTCAAGGCCCAGCGGGGAGCAGGAGGAGGAGGAGGGAGGAGCTAGGGAAACCAAGTCCCATCCGCAGCCAGACCTGGAAAGAGGAGGACCTCTCCTGAGACCGTGAGCAGACACAGTTAGAGACGGCCATGTTCTTCTTGCAAGGAAGGGCCTTGGGGTGCAGGCCTGAGGCTGGGGCCTGGCAGGCTGGCTGCCGTCTTCCCCTCCTGCTCTGCTCCCGTCTAGACCAGTTTTCCCAGCCTGGGCACTGCTGGCTTTGTGGCCTGGATAATTCTATACGGCGGGTTTGCTCTTTGCCTTTGTGTGTGATCAGCAGCATCCGTAGTCTCTGTCCATGTATCCAGTTGGGCTCCTGTCCCCAGTTGTGACAAGTGAAAATGTCCCAGAATGTTGGCAACTGTCCCCATGGCAAATTGTCCCTGGTTGAGACCCCCCTGGCCTAGGGGTACATGGGTAGGAGGCATTGAGGGAGGGGTGGTGGTCAAGACCCCACAGAGGCTGCCTGAGGGTTTGGGTTGGGACTCTCCTAGTCAAGTTTGCCGTGATGAGCTGTCATTGATGAGATCCACCCCCGGGCCCCTTTACCCTGTCAGGGACTGGTGGCATTTGGTTCTGACAGATCCAGTTCTTAGATTCTAATTCCCAGCATGATTCCCAGACCTGTGATCTGCATTTCTGTCTCGGATGATGTTTCTGCCGAGGGACATTGGGACATGCCCAGCGAGGGTGCAGGGAGTCACACCATCGCGTGGTTTTAAAACGTCAGGAGAGAAGTGTTTTAATGTGTTGGGTTTTAAGTGGATCGATGTAAAGGACTGAGAGTCCCTCCAGCCAGTCCCTGCACAGGCTGAACCTGTGGACACAACCTAAATGGCTGTGGCCGGGCTCCAGCGAGTGGACTGCCGGCCGGTGGTCCTCACCCCTGCCTTGGCCTGGGCGGGAGGCCGGGGTGCTTTTCTGAGGAGCCCCTCCCGCCTGCTGCCGCCGGCTCGGAGCTTGCCTTCTCTCCTTTGGAGGCAAAGGCGGTGATCCCGCCACCCCAGGCACTGCCTCCTGGAGCAGCATCAATAATGGATGCCAGTCAATGGCCTCGCGGCCAAGGCAGGATCTGAGATGCCCCTGGGATCTCCGTCCAGGAGCAGAGAGAGAGGGGTCGATACTGCATTTACTTAAGAAGCCCTGGGGACAGGCGGATGCTGTGGAGAACACGGCCAGTTACAACCCCACGCGTGGGCTCAGTCGAGGACGGGGGTCCAGCTGGCTGGGAATGAGCATCGAGCCCAGAGGTGCCGGCTCCGGCTGTCTCATGCCCAGGCCCCTTTCAAAGGCAGGGAGCTGGTGGCAGAGAGACAGACCAAGTCACGTTCCCTCAGGGCTTGCTGAGCGCTCCTTCTTGCCAGGTAGTTTTGGACAGTGGTCCTCATCCTGTAAATCCCCCCCGCCCTGGCCAGGGGACATTTAGCAGTGTCCAGAGACATCTTGGATTGACGGTCACAATTGGAAGAGGGGACGTGCTACTGGCATCTAGTGTGCAGAGGCGGGGCTGCTACTGGACCTCCTACACCGCACAGGACAGGCCCCCACAACCAAGGGTGACCAGCCCAAGTGCCCATCATGCCAAAGTTGAGAAAGCCCGGTCAACTGATGAGCAGGAGACAATGCCCCAGCCCTGCCACGTCTTTCAGCAGAGGAAGAGAGGAGAGGGGGAAGGAAAGTTTGAAACAGACCAAAACCCAAAAGGGCAGTTACAATTAAACGGAGAAGGAAGTAGATCAGAAGCTGCTGGAGAGAGGAGGGGAGGTGACCTTGACCCAGGTCTCAGCCGGAGGCTTTAAAGCAGAGCCTGGCGTGTGGAAGGAGCAGCTTTCCCTGCCCAAGCAGAGGAGGCCCGAGGGCAAGAGGAGACTGGAGTGAAGGCCCTGCCCGAGGCTGGCCTGTGGGGTCCAGGTGGCCTGGGGTGAGAGAGGGTGGGAGGAGGATCCTGCAGGCCTCCCTGGGAGGGGAGGGAGGAATGAAGGGCAGATCCTCCAGAAACCCTTAGAGGAGGAAGATGGGGTATTGGAGGGAGCAAGAAACGGTGGGCTAAGGACAACTGCTCCTTTCCAGTGGCCAGTCCCCCTCGGTACCCACAGAAGTGCCACAGTTCCCGGAGTCTGCAATACCAACATCTAGGGCTCCCTCCAATCCCTCACCTGGGGCCTAGGCCGCTGCCCGGCTCCCTCAGTCCTCCCTAAATTACTCACAGCGCCTTACACAATGTAAACAGTTGTCACAGCACGTCACCTAGGGGACAGTAACCAGAACAAACGTCTGCACACTTTCCCCATAGCCTCCATCCGGGGTGGGCCGACTCCATGGGTACAGGAGGAGTGACAGGACTGTCCCCAGTGCTGGGGAACTTCTCAGAGGGGTTGCTTCTAGGAGTTGGGTTGTGTGACCTGGTGCCAGTGTCACCTGCTGGGCACCCTGTGGGTCACCTGTAAAATGGAGGTCACAATAGGACCCGCCTCATGAGGAGGCATTGTGAGGCTCAGACGGGCCCAGTTTTTGGCTGGAGTGGGATCGGGGACTGTTGGCTGAGGGTACTGAGCGGGAAAGGGGCTGATGTGTGCCGTCCTTGTCCCCCCAGCACGGCGCCTGGCCCCCCGCCGTCTCTTGACGTTTCGTGGTGGTCTCCTATTTTTGAGGAGGTTAGAGGTGGTGCAGAATCTCACATTTAAAGAATACAAAGAGTGTCCAGGGAAGGTGAGTCCCCCGCCCACCTGGCCCTCCAGCCACAAGTGACAGTGATTCACGGTTGTTCAAGACACAAGGGGGGGTGCAGGTGGCAGGCGGAGTCCCCCCACGAGGGGCCCCAAGACCTGCCTTTACCCATGTGTCTCCAGGGCACCACGTGGGCCCAGGGTTGGAGATACGGTGGGTCTTCTTCAAGAAGTCAGGAGAACCGGAACCTCACGATGAATTCATCTTCCTCCCCAACCCCCCCCCCCCGCCTTTTCTAGAACGTTCCTGGTGCCAGAGAGAAAGATGAGAACCCACCAGGTACTCGCCCTCCTCCTGCTCGTGGCGATCCCCTCCGCGGCCTCTGAGAACTCCAGCACGTCCCGGGGCTGCGGGCTGGACCTCCTCCCTCAGTACGTGTCCCTGTGCGACCTGGACGCCATCTGGGGCATCGTGGTGGAGGCGGTGGCCGGGGCGGGCGCCCTGATCACACTGCTCCTGATGCTCATCCTCCTGGTGAGGCTGCCCTTCATCAAGGACGTGGAGAAAAGGAGGCCCGTGTGCCTCTGCTTCCTCTTCCTCCTGGGGACCCTGGGCCTCTTTGGACTGACCTTCGCCTTCATCATCCGGATGGACGAGACCATCTGCTCCATGCGCCGCTTCCTCTGGGGGGTCCTCTTTGCGCTGTGCTTCTCCTGCCTGCTGTGCCAGACGTGGCGCATCCGGAGGCTGGTGCGCCAGGGCACGAGCCCGCCAGGCTGGCAGCTGGTGGGCCTGGCGCTGTGCCTGATGCTGGTGCAGGTCATCATCGCCACTGAGTGGCTGGGTCTGACGGTGCTGCGAGACTCGAAGCCAGCCTGCGCCTACGAGCCCATGGACTTCGTGATGGCCCTCATCTACGACATGGTCCTGCTCGTGGTCACCCTGGCCCAGGCCTTCTTCACGCTGTGTGGCAAGTTCCTCAGGTGGAAGCTGAACGGGGTCTTCGTCCTCATCACATCCTTCCTGTCGGTGCTCATCTGGGTGACCTGGATAACCATGTACCTCTTCGGCAACGCCATGATAGAGCACGCGGACAGCTGGAGTGACCCCACCCTGGCCATCGCGCTGGCGGCCAACGGCTGGGTCTTCATCGTCTTCCACGCCATCCCCGAGATCCACTGCACCCTTCTCCCTCCCCTGCAGGAAAACCCACCCAACTACTTTGACACGTCTCAGCCCAGAATGCGGGAGACGGCGTTCGAGGAGGACGTGCACCTGTCGCGGACCTACATGGAGAACAAGGCCTTCTCCATGGACGAGCACAATGCAGGTAGAAGGGGCAGAGCTAAGTGGGGTAGGACCTCAGGTCACTTGTACCACAAAGACTATTATTACCGGTGGAGATAGGCAGCCCCAGACCCGGGCACCGTCCTAGCAGAGCAGAATAATCCCCGACGTTGGCCCCTGGGCCCACACTGGCTTAAAGATGGATTTTTTAATTTAGCTGTTTTGTCTCCCCTCCCAGTTTCTTACTCATGATATTACAAAAATTCAGCTTTCTGGCTTCTTTTGAAAAGTCAGGGTCTGGGGCTATGCAGGAGGCACCCTGGGTATGATTTCCCATCACTGCCAAGAAAAAAGTTGGATCTGGCAGCAACACGGGACTGACCTTCCCACGGCTCTGCCTGTCACCCTTCCCGAGGGAGGGGTGACTGCACCAAGATGGGGGTCACCTGCTGCCCAGTGCTCTCTGTCCCCTGCCAGGCTCCTGACCCGCCACCATACCACATTCACATGAATTCCCCGGCTCCCCAGGAGCGTTTTGAGGGTGCAACCCCTGTTCTTGATGGATGCAGGACGCCATTGGGGGGGAAATGCTCCTGCCCCCTCCCCTACCTCCGCCACCAGGAGTGTTCAGGTTTGGGCCCTGAAGTTCCACGTCTAAGTTCAAATCCTGGCTCTACCACTTCTCAGTGTGCAGCTTTGGGCAAATTACATCACCTCTCTGAGCCTCAGTTTTTCTCCTCTGTGAAATAGAAACAATAAGAAAATGTACCTCGTGCAGCCAACCATGGGAAGTACCACCACTGAGCACCAGGCTCCCCTGGTACCTGGCAGGTTGTATGTGCTTCTCAGTTGAGTTGCCCTGAGAGTGGAATGTGAGAGAAGGGCTTGGATGTGGGTGGTCTACTTGGGTGGGGACCGTGCAAGGGGGGGTGGGCAGGAAGAGTCGGTCACCCACACCAAGGGCATTGATGATCTGATGGCCGCTGTGGAGAACTGGGCCTCTGAATGGAAAACGAGCCCCTGAATCAGCCCTGGAAGGACAGGAGACTGCGGCACCCACCACCGCCACCTCCCATTCCCCAGGGTCCTTACCGTCCGCCATAACTCCTGGGGAATGGGCTGAACAAATTCCACCAGATGCCAAGGCAGAAAAACAGATTTGGTGGGACCTGAGGGGACCTCATTTGGGAACCTCAAACTCTCTCCTACCGCTGAGCTCAAAGGTGGGGTCATAGGAGTCCTGGGGATGCCGTACAGGTACCCCAGGGTCCTGCCATCAATGCTCGAGAGGTGACCCTTAGAACCATTACTTGAAGGGGGTTGGCGAGGTCCCCAGCACTTGAGATGAAATAAAATGACCTTTCCTCCGGTACCTGAAGACGCCTGGGGCTACAACATTAATAACAACAGATAAGAACAGCAACCACCGTGCCTTTGCCTAGTGGTGCGGCGGGCACAGACCTGCCAGGCACCGCCCTGACTTGAGCCTGTCCTACCCTTCAGTGGGGAGGAGGTTGGCCCTGTCAGCGTCTCCACTCTAGAGATGAACGAACAGAGGGAGGTGCTAGGAACCTGTGCCGTGGACACACAGCCAGGCGCTGGCCCATTCCGGATTGTCAGGGCTCCCTCTTGAGGTTCACCCTGCTGACTGGGGCCCAGTCGTGCCACGGGGTCAACCTCCCTGCGTCCAGCACCATGCCCACCTGTCTGTCCCCCTTTCTCTACGCCCCTTGTCCTGGCTGAACCCACAAGAGGGAACACCTGTGGCCACCTCTGGATAGGGCTGTGGGTTGCCAGGTGACCCTGATCCCAGCTCCTTTCTTCTTGTCGGGAAGGAAGCTGTGTCGTGGAAAGATGCAGCGGGGAGGGCAGTGTCGGCCCAGGTTGGGGACCGCTCCCTGGGATGCTGGAGAAGATGGGGTCAGGATGCAGCTGACCCCCTTCAGGGAAAGTGGTGGGCAGAGGCCAGGAGGCTAACCAGTTCCTGGGGTCCTGTAGAGCCACCACTTTGCTGGCTCCTCTGGGAGAGAGGATCCTCTTTGTCTGAGACCCCTGGACTCCAAGGTAGCAAGAACTGAAGTGGGTGAAAACTCATGCAGTCAAGTTTTCCCGGAGAACTGGTCTGCTGCCTTGTTGGATTCTCAGAGGCGTCTGTGACTCCCCAGAAGTTCATGGCCCAGTGTTGTTGAATGTGTTGGTTTGACCTTCTTGCAGTAAAGCCAGCACTACCCAAATTTCTGGGCCCTTAAAAGCAAGGACAGCCGGGCACGGTGGCGGTGGCGCACACCTGTAATGCAGGGGCTTGGGAGGCTGAGGCAGGAGGATCATGAGTTCAAGGTCAGCCTCCGCAACTTAGAGACCCTGTCCCTAATTAAAATATAAAAAAGGCCTGGGGATGTGGCTCAGTGGTTAAGCGCACCTTGGTTTAATCCTGGTACCAAAAAATAAATAAAATAAAAGCCAGGACAGCCCCACTTCACTGCGTGCCAGGCACCATTCTGAGCATTTCGGTGGTCCATCTCCTTTCATCTCTACAGTAACACCATGAGGTCTGTTGTGCAGGCAGGAGACTGAGGCACAGACAGGCTAAGTGACTTGTGCAAGAGGCAGAACCAGGGCTTGAGCCCAGGCCTCCTGACAGAGCCCACAGGCTTGCCTACTCCGCCACAGAAGTACCTGCCTCTTAAAGCACGTTAGCGTCTCATCTCAGTGACACGTCAGGGCGGCTCTGTATTTTTGGAAATAGGAGGATTGTCAGACCCATTTTGCAGAGTGGAAACCGAGGCCCTGGGGACATCAGGCGACTTGTGTAAGTTCAACATAGCAGAACAGGGAGGGGAAAAAACTAATTTTTGGAATCCCATGGTACTATTTCTTGTAAAAATGTAGCCAATAATTCATATCCACAGAAGATCCAGAGATTCAAGGGACCTGGGGCCCAGGTCGGTGGCAACAGTGTCAGTGCTAACACAGGGGCGATGGAGGGTCTGGGAGGTACCACACCCCCAGCCCCATCTGTTTCACATCCCATCTGTTTGGAGGTGGTCCAAAGCCAAAAACAGGTTGTCCTTCCATTTCGCCTGTGTGTGTGTGTGTGTGTGTGTAATGCTGGGGATTGAACCCAGGGCCTTGTGCATACCAGGCAACCACTCTGCCAACTGAGCTACATCCCCAGGGCCCATATATCTCTTTTCCAAAACAAAAATGCTTTTTTTCTTTCTGATGGTAGAGGAGCAGCAAGAATTGTGTAGAATCAGAAAAGATTCATGGAGGTAAAAATACGAGAGGTTGCTAAAATCCCCACTTCCCAAAAAGAGCTACTCCCGAAGGTTGGTTCCCGCCTTGCCAGACATCTCTCAGGGTGCATGCGCCGCACATCCCCCGCGCTCCACGTTAGGACAGAGCGGCTCTTAGCCAGGCTGCGCGTTGCCACCACCTGGACTGCCCAAGGAAGTGACCAACGCCTGCAGCCTCCATCCGATTAAGTCTGAGTTTGGAATTGGGTATTTTTCAAGTTCGCCTGGTGAGGCTAAGACGGATCCAGGTTGAAACCACTGGGCCAAGCGGTGGTGCGTCTCGTCCCGCCGCCGTCAGTGTTGGGAGGGCCTTTCCAAAGGTCAGCGGCCACAGTTCCCATCAGGTGCCCCGATTTACTCTTCTGGTCTTCGACGGGTCCTGCTCACCTACAGCTCTCCGCGGTGCTGCAGTAGACGTCCTTACCCTTCATCTTTCTGCTTTGGGTCAATTAACTCCTTGCAAAATAGTTCCTCTCCAAGGGCTGGGGTTATACGCATGTGCCACGCGTGCCCCGCCATGGCGGGCGTGCATGTCCCGGCACCCCGGAAAAGCAGACTGGTTTACTGTCCCCCGCTTGATAACTGCATGACAGCCACCGCCATCCGCACCCCCGCCCCCGCACACACACGCACCTGTAGCACCCTTCTGGGTGTAGTCAGAATTTGTTTTTTAGTGGCCAACTTTTGGATCATCCCAAATGTGTCTTCCACCAACATTCACGGGAGACCAGGCATGACAGGCCTCAGGCAAAGCCAGTTCCCTCAGCTCTCCCAGAGAGGCTGAGCTAGAGTCCTGGCTCGGATGGCCTTTATTCTAGAAACTCTTGCTTGGCTGGCTAGGGACCATCTGGGCACGCTCCCTTGCCACAGTAGGAGCAGCTGTTGGTATCTCCAGTGCTGACTTCAGCCAGTTTGTATTTTAGGAACCTGGCCCCATGAGGGGCCCCTTACCCTTGAGCCCTTGGGTCTCAGAGACTAGCCAGTCCCCAGGAGCTGCAGTTGACCCTGTTTCTCTTAGCACCTGAAAGCCTGCAGCTTTTCAGGCTCCCTTGAGACTCAGTCCTTCCCTGAAGTGCCAGGAGATGGGAGGAACCTTCATCGGGCTGTTCCGTGGCTTGGCCAAGCCCCAGCAGCCTCATCACATATCTCCTTCCCTCCCAAGAGAGACCCCATATATATATACAACTTCACCAGCCTGGGATTTATTAATAAGTACCAACAAGGCACAGATATGCAATAAAAGGTAAAAATGGGGGGTGTAGCATCTTGGATCACATCTTAGAAAGCTTTAACAAGGCATATTAAACATTCACCTTCCAAAGGAGCTAAAAAGAAAAGTATTTTCTTCTGTTAGGACTTTGGGCTCTTGAGTCTCATTAGGACCAAAGGCTATTTAAACTGACTCTTTGGCTGGGATGCAGCTCAATGATAGAGCACTTGCCTAACACGTGCAAAGCCCCTGGTTTGATCCCCAGAACCACAAAAATACATGAATAAACTAACCCTTTGCTTCCTGCTGGAAGATCCTGAGTTGACTTTGGTGGCAAGGCCTCACTTGCAGAGTCTACAGGAGAAAAGGCTGGCATTTGAACTATGAGCTCTGATTCCTGCGTGCACCCCTTTATGGGTGAGCACTGCTTCCTTTTCGGATCTGGCCTGGGTTGAATGAATTGACTGTGCATTAGTCAGGCCTTTTGAAATTAGTTGCAAGTAATTAAAACAAATCCAATTTGAATAGGCTAAAGCATTAAACGAGCCAAATGTACTGGGCAACAGGCTCTGGGAATGGTTAGGTTCTGGAGACTCAAGTTATGACAAGATTTGGTCAGTCTCCATCTGTATTTGGGTTCATGGTCGCCCACAACTCCAAAGGGGTGGAAAAGGGGGACATGTCCCAGGAGACTAGAGCAAAATCCCAGAGTTAATTTTGATTGGACACGAATGCCTTTCCCCTGAACCAATCAGCGTGTTCAGGGAGATGGGAAGCCCTGATTGGCCAAGCCCAAGTCACGTGGCCACACTGAGCCCTGGGAGATGGCTGTTGTAGCCAGCACTGAGGGGGCTAGAATGTTAGGAGGGCTATTCATCAGCAGAGGAACCACAAGTAGCCACTACAGAGAGGGCCCCTCTGGCCAAGGCACCCCACAGATGACAGCAGAGTCAAGCCTTTGTTTCTGTGAAGAGAATGTGTTTGGAGGCCAAGTCCCCAGCCGCAGCTGCTGGGTCTCTGCATTACAAGGAAAGCTGCGTTGGCCTTCCCTCTCCCCAGGCAGGCCTAGGCTAGGAGTTGGGGTCAGCATAGACTATCTCCCACTTGGGTGCTGCTCCCTGCCACTCCATGGATACCTCCTAGGAAGGGCAGCTTCTCGCCCAGCACCATGTGTAATGAGTTGCTCCAAGGCCTGGAGATGCCTAAGCAAGAAGTTTTTCTAAATGGGTCTTGGAACATATGTTGCCTACCCCGCTTCCATTTTTTTTTTTTTTTTGCCCAGTCTGGGCTGAGTTGTCCCTAACATCACTTAATTCAAGTTATTTCTAAGTAATAAAGTGTGATGAAACACACAGTATCTGGAGCCAGTGTGGTGTGATAGTTATGAACCCAGACTCTTTGTAGAGTTTGAATGCTGATCTGCCCCTTACTTGCTATTTAACCTTGAGAAGTTACTTAACCCCTCTGTGCCCTAAGTAAGAGTATAAGTACCTATCATGCTATGAAAATTTAATGCTAAGAAAATGAAATGAATATATATAATATGTAAATTTCATCATGTATATATGACAGTACCTGGCTCCTGGTTAGTAATCTATGAAGGATAACTAAGGTGATTCTAGCACCTGCCCCCAAGTAATTAAAAAAAAAAAAACTCAGGCTGGGCACAGTGATGCACACCTGTAATCCCAGCAGGTCTTGGGAGGCTGAGGCAGGAGGATTGAGAGCTCAAAGCCAGCTTCAGCAGTTCATCAAGGCCTTAAACAATGTAGCAAGACCCTGTCTGTCTAAAATACACACACACACACACACACACACACACACACAGGGCTGGGGATGTGGCTCAGTGGCTAAGTGCCCCTGAGTTCAATCCAGGGGGCCTATGGGATGGAGCCCAGGAACATGCTAGGCAAATGCTCTACCACCGAGCCACACCCTGTGCCCTGAGTCTCTTCTTAGCAAAGTCAATTTAGTACTTTCAATGAAGATGAAGAACCATCTGACAATTGAGAAGACCCATCTGACAATTTGATTATTTTATAGAGTTTTTCCTTTTTTTTTTTTTCCCTCCTTTTTTTCCTGCAAGTGCTAGTGATCAAACCTGGGACCTCATACATAGGAGGCGAGTGCTGTATCACTGAGCTACACCCAGCCTCGTTTTAAGTTTATGGGAAAAAAAAATCCTCTCAACCTGCTTGAGTCCCATATTTACCGCAGTTGATAAGGCGGCATGAGTACATGATTATTTAGCTGTGTGTGGTGCCGGGGGGCAGGCCAGGCCTTGCACATGCTAGGCAAGTGCTCTACCACTGAGCCGCGTGCATCCCAGCCATACAGTCCAAATTTTAACTAGACCTCACTCTTTGTATTCTACGGATCTGTGGGTTTTGACAAAGCACATCATGACATGTGTCCACCCAGTGGTATCGTACAGAACAGTGTCACGGCACTGAAATGCCCGCACACCTCCTCTTCATCCCTCACCCCACACCAACCCCTGACAACCAGTAATCTTTTACTGTCTATAGTTTTGCCTTTTGCAGAACACAATGCGGATGGAGTTCCCCAGTGTGAGCTTTGACAGACTGGCCTCTTTCACTTAGCAATAGGCATCTGGGGTCCCTCCATTAATTTGGTATTTCTTTCCCAACAAGGAAATTTGACTCCCTTACAAGTACAGCAAAGAGCACCACTTAACCACCTTTCAGAGGTAAAAAGTGCTACCTTATATTGTCATCATTGCTTCAGATCTCTGGGGACGGCCGCTTGCCAGTGGTGACAATATGGCCGTGTTCTTGGCGGTTCCTACCTCTTGTGTGGATCCAGAAGCAGTGACCATTTCTGAATGGTGTGACATTGCCCCTGTCGTGAGTGGGTGGCATTCTGCAGTGAGGAGAGGAGCTCTTTTGTCAAAGGAGACCTGAGGGCTGCAGAGGGGCTTGTCACCCAAGGCCTGCAGGGGCCCTGTGTGAGGGATGGGTCAAGGGTCAACCCTGGAGCCCCCCTTCCCCCCATAGCCTGAACCCTGGACTCTACAAACTTCCCAACCCACTGAGAGGGGTCAGGCTCCTGAGAACAAAGCCCCTTTGTGACTTGTTTTGAATCAGCTTGTGACAGAGGGGCGGGGCGATGCGGTGGCTGGGCGGGGGGTACCCAGAGCGCTGTTGTTGATGCAGGAGTGAAAAAACAAAATTGTGTCTCTTTTCTTTTTTTTCTTTTTTTGGTGTTGTCGGCCTGCCAATGGCTCCCTCCCCTCCCCCCTCAGCTCTCCGGACAGCGGGCTTTTCCAATGGCAGCCTAGGGAAAAGATCCCCCGGCAGCCTGGGGAAGAGACCCACCGGCAGCCTGGGGAAGAGACCCAGCGCACCCTTCAGAAGCAACGTGTACCAGCCAACCGAGATGGCCGTTGTGCTCAATGGTGGCACCGTAAGTATCAAGATGTGATGTTTGGGCGGGAAGCCCGAGAGCTTGGGGTGTGGGAGCAGCTTCCACGGGGCACCCTTCTCTGGATGCCCCCCGGTAGCTAAGCGCATGTAGTGCCGCCATTCTCCTCTCCCTGTCCCCTCTCCCCACCTTTCTGCACACACCGGGAATCCACCTGTACCTAGTTAACCACCTCTAGATTCATCTGGAAGAGGACCTGTTCTTGGGGCTCTAGTATCCAGTAGATTCTTTGGTTTCCACTAACACCGCCCCCAGCCTTCTCCCTGGGAGGTTGACTTGAAGGACAAGGCCACCAAGACAAAGCCCCCTCAGGTTTTGCTAGACTAAGTCCCCCCCCCCGTCGCACCTCTGCCCTCGTGCCCCAGCTGTGTACCAGTTTCCCCACCCCAGCTCCCTAAGGGACATCTTAAGGGACGGAGTTGATGGCCGTGTGTCCCTCCGACCGAAGCAGGTCCGCTCTCTGATGCCAAACAGACCCGCAGCAGAATCGCCACCTTTCCATTCGCCTCGTGGAATGACATCGCTGTTTCTCCACAATCCAAAGACCTGCTCTCATCCCCATGTTTAATTTCCAGACATAGCTACATGCTTCTCAGAAATGACGCTGAGCCAGTTTACTTGTGTAAATTGGATTTCCATCCTTTATTTCACGCACTGATTCCATAACCTTTTTTTTTTTTTTTTTTTTTTTTTTTTAATGGGAGGCAGGGATGGTCTTGACCTCTTGAGGGGACTTGAGTTTCCTGACCTTGAATGATGTGCTAGGCTTCGGTCTGTGTTGGTTTGGAACATGCTCAAGACAGAATCACAGATTGACATTCTAACACCCCCCACCATCTCCTGGGCTGTTTTACTGTCCCAGGACGAGATAAGCCGGACTCACAACATGGCCTGAGTGTTATAATTTGGTTAGAAAAGGTCCCATTGGTTACTCATAAGCCCTCATGGATCCTTCAAGGATTAAAGAAACAAATGCCTTAGGGCTAGAGGGTCACAGCCCACGCTGGGCCCATCTGGGGAAAAACCAGGTCACTTACCTTTGGCACGTTGTGAGCAAATCGGTGTCTGACGTTGACTTTGCAAAAGCACGGAGTTCTCAGTGTGTTATCCTTATGTTATTACAGATCCCAACTGCTCCGCCATCTCACACTGGAAGACACCTCTGGTGAACGACTTTTTAAGTTCCCGAGAATAAGAATCTCTCTTACCAATTTCATTCCCTGGCCGTGTCTTTCTTGAGGGAGAAATCAGTTAACAGTAGCCGAGCAAGGCCGCCTCTCAGCCAGGAGCGCTGGAGTCCTGGGCGAGGGGGTCTCCTGTCCCTGTGAACACTGATGACCTAAAAAGCTAACACTGACTGCCCGCCCCGCCCCTGCCACACACACAGACGCCCTGGTCACGCTGAGCAGCCTCAGTCCCCGCACACACTAAAGCCAAGCTAATTGCAAATAGTACTAGGCTCATCCAATGTGGCTGGGGGGCCTGCTCCACCCTGGGGGCCAGGCTGATGTGGGTTGCTTAAAGGGGGGCCCTACCCCATTCCCCTCCCTGGCAAGCTCTGGGCCCCAGGTAGCCTCTTGGAGATGACCTTGACCTTGAGGATGACTCATGGAGCCCAATCCCTGGCTGGCCTGGTGGTTTGCACATATCAGGGGAATTTAGGAGGCTGAGGGTTGATTCCAAGGCAAGGCCCAAACCAATCGTGGCGGGGAGCTTTATGGCCACTCGTGGTGGAGGGGCCCTGGCATGTGCCAAAGAAAAGGAGACTCTCCAGGCCTTGAAGGAACCGCCACATTTAGTTCCTTCTATGGGCCTCTTGCCCGAGAGCCAAGGGCAAGAGAACAGGCCCCACGCCCTCCTTGGAGAGTCATAGAAATGCTCTGGCTAGGGACAGCCACCCCTCCCTCCCGGCCCCCGTCATCTCTGTCTTCCTGCACTTATGGGTGCCCCGCCAAGCCCTTTCCCAGTTTTAATCCCACATTCGTTTTCCAAAACTTCAATGGGGCAAACAGCTTAACGCAGGAGGCAGGTTGCAAGGCCAGGCCCGGCAGGTTTGCCCCCAGCAGGTTTTCGCCTGGCAGGGCTCCCCAGGGCTGCCCACTCGATGGAGAGAGAGCGGGTCCGGCTGCGTGGCAAGCAGTGACTTGCTGGGTCTTTCCTGTGGATTTGGAGAAGGTTCCAGGGCAGAGTGAATCACGGGAGGGATTCTTGCTGCTTTGGGAGGGTGTGGGGGACATTCCTACCTTGGTTTTCTGCAGGCTCCATGAAAATGGCTCTCTTCACAGCCCCTTGTTTCTGTCATGGTTTCCATCTGTCCTGAGCAAGTCATTCCTTTGTTATTTTGCATGGCAAACATCCGGGCCTTTCAAAAGCCCATGTTCTCTGCACTGTTTGGCCGGCAACGGTTCAAAGCCAAGGGTTTTAACCTGACGGCATGGAATGTATAAATGAGGATGGGCCTTCTGCATATACTGTAATCTCTACGTCGCTTTTTCTATAAAATTACCCTTAAGCCTTTAACCTTTTAAGAAAACGGAAAAGGTGTGGGGGTGGGGGTGGGGGTGGGGCTGACCTCTTCGTGAGCCAGTACCCCCTGAGCTGACTATGATTTAATAAACCTGGTTTTTCTCAAGGCCCTAGTCTCTGATGTGTCCCCTCCCCACTCTTCACCCCGCTACCCCATCCCTGCAGACCACTGGGAAACTAAGGTCAAACCGGCCATCCCTGGGTACCTGCAGCTAGTACCTCTCCTGTGTTAACTGCATGGGGCCGGGAAAGCATGGCAGACAATGTCAGTCCTTCCTGGACCTCCCAGAAGCACCCACCTGCCCTGCCCAAAGCATGTGCTTGCTTCTAGGAAACCAGATTCCAGTCCTCTCTGCTCGAGGATCACCACTGGGTGGGCTGAGAAACTTGGAGCCTGGCGACGGGTGGGAGGGAAAGAAGCTAGGGGCTCAGTGGGGCAGGCAGTGATGCATGCAGACCCCGAGCATCCTGCAAATAAATCAGCCTCTGAACGCCTCGGTCCAGCCCAGTGAAAAACGACAGCGTTACACATTCTCGTGCCAGGAGATGGTGGCTCATCCCCGATCTCTGGAGTCCTTTGGAGCTTTCTGATACCATCAGTGACACGGTCTGCAAGAGCCCCCCTTGCAAAAGGGAGGAGTTCACACCATCTCCTTTTCTAAGTTCTCTCTTGTCCACGAGTATAAAGGTGAGCACAGCAGAAATGGCTATCAGGTGCAAAGTTGAGTTTCTGCACCATGAAAACAGAACCATTTTTGGCTGCAGGAATCCTCACTTAATGAGACTTTCCTCCCTTTTAAAATTCCTGATAGGTTATTGCGCTTTGGGTTTTGTTTTATTTTGGCTGTTAGGCTCAAGGTGGGCTGGATGTTCTTAGGATGGGACAGAGATGGGGGCGAGGGCAGGAGGGAGAGTTGGCTGTCTTCTCCAGAATTCATCTTGGCTCACCGAGGTTTAAACCCAGGATGGAAGGCACCTCTGTTGAAGATCCATTCACGCAACCAGGACTTGTTTGGGGGAAGGGCCCCGAGGCAGCAGCTGTGAATAATCCCTAATTGTAAGCACAAGTCCCCTGTCCAGTTAGAAACCGCTTTGGGACTGTAACATCCACTCTTGTCCTCCCATTGAACGGAAAATTGTCATTCTGCCCTAGATGTCCCCCCGCTAGAGATGGAGGGTGGGTATAAGGGAATGAGCTTCGGGAGCGTTACAAATTGGGAAGTCCTGTGGGTTCCGGTGTTTCCAGGATTAAGGTCTGGTGTTGGAAGTTGGGTGACCGGTGCCCGTTTGGGGCACAGGTGCCGACAGGACACTGATCAAGGGCACGCTGGATGTTTTTCTAGGTTGGCCAAGGCTGGGTGGAATGCCTCGGGCCGAACCCCAGGCTAAAAGGGGGCATAGTGGCTTTTATAATCCAAGGATGCAACGATTATACCAGCTTATGGGTGTTCTCAGCAGGTGCTTTTTATTAATTGATTAAAGAGCTAAGGCTCATTTTTGATAGATAATATATATTTATTAAATGTATTAATGTGTGTTTTATAATGGACCTTTATCTTCCCTTGGCTGACTTGCTTACTTATAAAAAAAAATTATTCAAGAAATTTTAAGACAATCAATGTGTACCATACATGACTGTATATAAATATTATAAATTTAAAAGGTTGTTAAAGCATGGGCAGATAGGTTTTATTTTCAAAATGCTGTTCTTAACACAAAAATAAAGGCTTTACTATTTACTTAAGATGTGTGGGAGCTTATCAAAACGACTCAATACCACGACTGGGCTTTCGGCTGAGACTGTGGCATTTTGAATGAGAGAATCCTGGTTAGCAGCAAACCACAGAACAAATAAGGGCAATAAGTTAATTAATTTACCCACAGAAGCTGGAACTTTCTATAATACTTGGGAAACTCGACAACAAAAAATCCTTTGTGATTGTTATCTGAGTTTCAGTCTCTCATCTCGGGCCTGGGGATGTAGCCCAGCAGCAGAGCACTTGCCCAGCATGTCCAAGAGTCTGGTTTTGAGCCCCAGAACTGCAAAACCAAACAACAAACACCACAAAAGAAATTCAGAGATTTGAGACCTAAATATGGAATTTTGCAAAAGTGGAACAACAGCACTTCAACTTCTCTTGGGACTAGATTTCCATCATATGTTTTGCTAGCAGTTGGCATAGTATGCTCCTGAAGCACTGAAGAAACATCTAGAATAAAGAATGAATTTTGGGATAATGCAGAAAGTTAAGACAGGTATTTTTCTAAAGTATTGCACTAAGCATGTTTGTGACAAATCCTATTTTGTGCAGAAAAGATTCTGTTTTCACATGTACTGAGTCTTGTCATTAAAGAAATCACAAGAGAGAAAGCACAATTTGGACATTTTCCTTGCCCGGGGTAATTTGCGCTGGAGGGAAGAGATCCCGGTGATGGTCATGGTGCTGGAGTCTGGTGGGCTGGCTCCTGGTACTCCTCCATGGTGCATTTCACTGCAAAGAGATGAAAGAGAGTCGGGATCGATTTCCATACCTAGACAGACTTGTCATCTGGAAACCAGAAACTGATGTGTGGGTGAGGCAGTTGCAGCAAAACCCAGAGACAGCCTGCTGGCTCTGGCCCCCCAGATCCTCGGGGAAGAACACAGAGCCATTGTGCTCCAAGGGCTGCACCTGAAAACCCAAGCCGCTTCCCCACAGTCACGGCCACTCTGAATTCAGTTCAGAAAAAGGTCGAAAGAGAGCTTTGCAGGTCCAGGTGCTGAAGGAAGTTTTACTAAAGATGATGACAGATTCCAGGCTCTCAGCTCAACCCAGTCTGTCACCACATGCCCTGCTCCCCTCCACCCCCCCCCCCCAAAAAAAAACTTGGGTATTGCTGGGGTCAATGACAAGGTCAGAAGAGAATCGTTTCTCTGTCCATGTGGACAAAAATGTGATCCTGGTGATTTCCTGAGTCTGCCAAACAGGAAAGTTAGTTGGACACAGCCTGGCACTTTCTAAAAGGAAAGTTAATCCCCCCAAAATAAAAGCTACTCCCCAAATAAATATAGAAGTTCATCCCAGGGTGGGCTGGGGACATCCTTTTGGAAAGGATTCTCT